TACAATTCTTCCTTCTTTTGCATCTTTTCTCCATTTCATCACACGATTATTGTTTGTGTCTGATACATAAACAGATTGATCTTCATCAACAAATATAAAAGTAGGATAATTGAGTTGATTAAATTTATTTCCTTGTCCATTTTCACCTGCTACTACAATTCCTTCATTATTGTATTCTCCCATTTTCCATCGTCTCACTTCATTCTTCTTCCAATCCGAAACATACATAAATCCATATTTATCCATTGCCAAGCCGAAACAGTCAATATCTTCAATGAGAATTTGTTGATTCTGATTCAACCATTGAATCACTCGTCTATTATCATAATCAGCAATGATGACCGAATTACTTTGTTGATCAACAATCACATCTCTTGGTCCACTCAGTTGATTCATTCGATTTCCTTCTTTATTTCCACCTGCAATAATTTGTCCTTCATTTGCATTGCATTCCCATGCAATAATACGGTTATTCAAACAATCAGCAATGAACATATTTTTGTTTTTATCAATAAAGATTCCGTAAGGGTAATACAGTTGATTTAATTGTTGTCCTTGTCCATTTCCACCAGCTACAGTGATGGCATTTTGTTTCCATTTGTTGAATTTTGATACTAGAAAATAATGAAAATGAAAAATTTCGATGAAAAGAAAAAGAAGACGAAGAAAATTTGTTTTTCTTCGAAGAAAAAAGAAAAGATTAATTTTGATTTTGTTTTTACTATTCTATTTATTCTATAAAGGTGACACTCTATTTGATTCCATTATCAATTTTGATATGAGTGCTATCCTTATTTATTGATTAATAAATAAATCAATAATATTCTCAATATGTTTCTTTGTATTATAATTGTTTAAAATAAATTCATAGAAAATGAGAATTATCCGGCTAGAAATTTTTTGATAGAAACTTACTTTTTGATAAAACAATTGAAATTTCATTAATAAATGATGGTGAATCTTCTTTAATAGAAACCTTTAGTGGATTATTTAATTCCTGTGTAATTTCTATGAATTGGCTTCTTAAATAATTTAAATTAATTTCATTACATTCATTTTCTTGATGAATTTGTTTTATATATTCATTTAAATTATTAAATTTCTTTTCGATATTGTTAAAGAATGTTGGTAAATGTCCCATAGCAATTTTTCTACATTCTTCTGCTTTTTGTTGAATTATCTCAATTGAATCTGTTTCCCATTGATCAATTTGTTTTAATAATAAATCATTTTGTGGATTTTGTGGATTCTGTTTTCGTTCATTAATTCTTTGTTTAAATTCATTATACTCATTGGTAATATGATTTAATTGATCATTTAATATTTGTTGATGTTCTGTTAAATGTGTTAAACAAAATTCTTTTGAACATCCTTTACAAGGATATGTGATTTTTTCCTTATCACATGTAAAACATTGTGTTTTGATATTTGCCATTGCCATGCCTTTGAATATAAATTTGTAAATGAAATGAATAACCTCCTTGTCGACTTATATAGATATTTTGACGGATTTCATCCATCATTATCTTCTATATATTCTTGACCGAACATGCCCGCCGTGCATATATATACAGATCGGTCACTTCTTAATGTTTCACCTTTCTTGGTTTTCATATTCATTTTCTTTTTCATTCTTTTATTCGGCATAATAAAGCGCAAACGGTCAGTCGTTTCGTTATATATATGACTCCTCTTTTCTGGTTCCTTCTGCAGCTTGACGGTGTATAATTTTTCTTATATTTTCCCCTTCATTTGACCTTTCTTCTCTTATATGACCCCCGCACATTGGTTATCCCTGTCCTTGCCATTTTAGGTCAAGCAAGCGGTCATGGGTGGGTGTGGGTGTTCAGTTCATTATCACCCACACTCACACCCTTGTTAATGAACACATTATATTAGTTAAAGACGTAGAAAAATTAGATAATGAGAAGGGAATCAGTTCGTTATTACTTTGACCGGCTCAATATATGTTGAATAAAATTAATAATGAAAATACTAATTCAATCCATAAAGTAGGTATAAGTACTGCAGACTCAATGTTGAAGTTGCCTTATATCAAATGGCCTTTTCAATTAAATTAAAAAGTTGATGAGTTTATTAGGAAATATTACAATTGTAGAAATACAATATATAATAAAAAAAAACAGATCGGTTCTAGTGTATTAAATTCTTTATTTTTTTTCTGTCTTATTGTTCTTGACGCTTTTAATAGGTGAAGACGATCTATTTGAAGGTGTTACTCTCTGAGGTAATGAATTTCTTCGTGCATTACTATTATAGTTCGATACCGAGCCCGCACCGGTTACTGTCGTTTGAGCTTTTGTAGATTTTGAGTTATTCGTCGTTACTGGTGAGCGTATCGTTGGAGTTGCAATGGCATTCTTCGGTAGTAATGTTTTGCTTGATTGCGAGACCGTCTTTTTTCCCAATAATTTTTCGAAGTCATTCTGAAAAGTTAATCAAACTTTTTGATTAAAAATTCCAAGGTTAGAATAATTTACCTGCCAGCCAAGCAGTTTTGTCATTTCAGCGACGCCATCATCACAACTGCTTTTATGAAAAACATCACGATAATTTTTCTCTGAATCGAACTTCAAGACGTTTGTTAACTAGAAAATTCAATAGGAAATACTGTTTATTTGTCGGCAAGAAAATATCCCTTACTGGCTCCCATGCTACAGCAGCATTACCAGCAGGTTCCATATTGATCAGTAAGCGAGGACATTTTTTATTGACTCTACCATTCGATCGAATCAATAAATAAGAAAGAGAAAATAATTATTCCAATGACTAACCTGGTTATCAGTGTATTGAATGGTGCCACTTGAAGTGATGTTCCCATAATAATTAGAAAATCACATTGAGGAAAGTCCTGTGTTACAGAATCAACGATTTTATAACAATTCAACAATATTTTCAAATGTTTACTTACGGTCGAAACACATTCACCGTATCGTTTGGGAAGATTTTCACCAAAAAAGACGATATCTGTATATCAAAATCAATAGAAACAATAAAGATATTCGATTAGAACCAACCTGGTTTGATGATGCCAGAACATTCGTCACAGTGAGGTATCTCATCATTGAAAATAATCTCTAGAAAACTCGAAATTTTTATGAGAATTCAATAAAACCATCAAACCTTTGACATGATCTAACGAATATTCTTTTTGACAATCCAAACAATGATTCGTGAAAAATGTTCCGTGAGCTTCGACGATCTTTTCCGGCGGAATGCCGACAACTCTTTCCAATGAGTCAATGTTCTACATAGGAAAAAATGATTTCACTTATGGATTATATGAATGCAGAATTACTTGTGTGAATACTCGTAGCAATTTGCCTTTTTCATTCAAAAGTTGAATAAAATGATGAGCTGGTGTTGGCTAAAAGAGATCGAATTGGATATTAGAATTCCGTCAAGACTGCTGACTTTTCTATCAATACGTACTTTAAAATTGTTTGGATAAAGTTCCTTGGCCAGTAAGAAAAATGGTTTCGGATTTTCCTAGAAACATAAATCAATGTGTGACAGTATTGTTAAACATTCGATTTATGTTTTTAATCACATACACGAAAAAAGTCCAATGTAAATATTGCCAGTGGATTTGGAAGATTGTACTTTTCAAGCCGAGAATAGAGTCCAGTACCAGGCGTACGAAAATCAGGAATACCAGCACTTGTCGACATTCCAGCACCCGACATGATGATGATATTCGAACAGTTTGCCATATATTCAACAGCACCATGCAAATCGAATGATTTCAATACTGGTGACTCATCTATCTCATCTGTCTCATCGGGCGCCATACCAAACATCGCTCCAATTAAATTTGTACAATTATTCATCACTAAAAATACTGAAGAAGTTGAATCTCACTGCTCTCTATAGACAAAAATTTACAAACTTTGATTCAGTTCAGCTATTTTTGCATCTAACTCTTCTGATGCCGACATCGCTTTACTTTGATTCGGTTCTAAATTCGAAAACAAAACGTTGATGTCTATTAATTTGATTGTAAAAAACTCACCAGTGGCCATTGAGAATCGATTTTATAACGCTTTTTTTGTTTTAATCTTGAATTCTTCAACTATATATATATCTGACTTTTAAAAAGTTACATCAGAAAAAAACATGTTTTCGTGAGTCATTTTGTGTGTTTTAAGAAGGTTTCATTGGCAGACACGACCGAGTATTTTATCACGAGAACGAAATAAAGAACGCAAAAGAATTTTATCAAGTTTACTTCCCAGTCTTTCGCAATCTATAAAGATAATCACACTCACCATCAAGATGGTTTCGTGTGTTTTTTCCAACTAAACATTTCATTTAAAAAAGAAATCGGGGAAACCTTACAAGTGAAGAAAAGAAGAAAAAAAAACAAAAAAATACCTTTTAATTTTTGGTTAAATGGACTTTTAGTGTTTCATAATGGAACAAAATAAAAAAAATGAAGAAAAATAATTTCAACTTGCTTTCTATGTTTTTTCTCTACGTCTAGTATCATTTCACTTTCTCTGTTGCGCTTGCTTTTCTCCTTTTGTAACTGAACAACTTGTGTACTGATAAGTAAAAAAAATAATTTCAACTGAAAATAACATTTTCAATAGTTTCATTTTATCAATTAAAGAAATTGAAAATCTTAAATAAATTTTTCAACAAAAGAAAACCGTTTGAAAAAGAAAAACTATCTAAATAAATAAGTATAAGACATAATCAGATTAATCATAAAAACAAAAGTATTGTTTATAATCAGATATCTCAGCATAGACTAAATATTTAAAAAATTGATTTCATTATGAAATTTAATCATTTTCTCAACTTCAACTAGTTTGAATCTGATAATAAATGTTTTTTCTTTTCATTAAAATTCTTTGAAACTAAAAATCTAATTTGAATTTTGTATCATTTACAAAACTATTATTAATTGTCGATTTTATTTCAAATATTTAGTTTATTTTCCTTTCGAAAATCTTTTTTTTCAAAATCAAAAATACATTCACGATATTATTTCAAATTTTTCAATTCGATGGCTTTTTGATTCAGCAACATAAAGATTTCTTTCATCATCAAAACATAAACCATAGGGACAATACAATTGATTCGATTGATTTCCTTCAATATTTCCACCAATAATAATTTCACCTTCTGCTTTTCCTTCACACCAACGCACTACTCGATGATTCCAACAATCCGCCACATAGATTTGACCCAAATCATCAACAATCACTCCTTTAGGTGAAGACAACTGATTGAGATCTCCTCCTTCACCATTTCCTCCAGCTACAATTCTTCCTTCTTCTGAATCTTTTCTCCATTTCATCACACGATGGTTGTTTGTATCTGATACATAAATATATTGATCTTCATCAACAAAGATAAAACCAGGAAAATTTAGTTGATTAAGTTTATTTCCTTGTCCATTTCCACCTGCTACTACAATTCCTTCATTGTCATATTCTCCCATTTTCCATCGTCTCAC